CATGGCACTGAAGTCTTAGCAATGGTAGAGCCTCTTCCCTCTCTTTAACGGAAGATGACAAGTGAATGGAAGTAGCACTGTTTCTGAGTTGAGATTTCCAAGTATAGGTGAAAGTACACTCAAACTAAAAATGGGCTTCTGTTTTAGCTACACAAAATTTAAATAAAGCTAAACAGTACTAGAGATGCTGGAGGCCTCCTGAAAGCACAGTGTTCAAGTATTCTAGCTCCAAGCCTGCATGGACAATGTTCTCTCGTGGCCCGCACTTAGATCTGAAGTCTGTGCTATACGAGACCCTGTAATACGGCATACTTCCTTAGCTCTCTGAGTAGGTAGGTCACTACGATATTGCTGTGGTTATCCTTGGTGTGTACCACTTCTTAGCAGATTCCCTCCAGCGTATGTGTGTCTTTGGTCTCAGTATTTCAGTATCCTCCAGCATCTTGGTTCTCAGTAGCCTCTTTGCTGTTTCTCTTAATAGGAATTGCTAATGGGTTCTGTGGGTTAGGGGTTTAAGTTTTAGAGAATTATGGAAATTTTTATTTATTTAAAGTAGGTGAGGAAGTGGAAAAGAGCAAGAGACATAGAATTTATTTGGAAAGAATGTAGTCACTAGACTATAAGATGTCCATATTAATTTCTACTTGGCTATTTATGCCCTATGTAGCCCCTGTGTGAACATAAGAAGAGTATAATTAGCAGAATGTTCCAGAAGTACCAGTGTATATGACTTCCAAGAACAAATCATGAGGCATGTTATGGCTACTGTTTTGAGCCTTTGGATAATTAATTCTCAGGGATGCCATCAACCATACCAGGAGGACTCTCAAGAAGGTCTCAGCAGTGGACCACAAAGCCAGAAACTTAGAAGTGAGTTTTCTAGCCATTGCTAAGCCCCAAACTGACTAGTTGAACCACACTGGCCACAAGACAGTCCTTACTCAGTTTAATTCAACATGATCACTATCATTGATCAAACATTCTGAATAAAATTGTTGGATGTGGACTGTCATCAAAGAGACTGATGGCCCTCTGATGTTGCTTGCCTATACTGCTATTGAAACTCCTCCTCCTTACTAAAATCTAATTATTCCTTGGATAATATTTTTAACCTTTTAAACATATTTATAATACATTATAGTCTTTAGATATAATTTTGCTTGCATAGATTTCTTTTCACATAAAGCTGTCTGATTCTTATGCCAAAAGAAACAGAAATCTTTATCTTTATACTTTCTATGTTTGCTTTAATTATGTTACTTAACATTGAGAAAAGCTGTCAAAGAATTTGGGGGAAAGCTCATAAAGTAAAACACTGTAAGTACTTCAGCACAATAGATGGCCTTACAATGTGGCACCAAATACCTAGTAAAAGACAATACATTCTATTGTCCCTGGATGCTGGAGAAGTTTCCCTTGAAGACTTTTACCTTATTCTGTCACTCTTGAGTCAAAAACATGTTGGACACATTACCTCAGAACCATGGGTTTCTTTTCTCATTTTTGCCATATCTTTCTTTAGCTTGTGACCTATATTTTGCTTAAAGAATCACTGTATTACCTTACTCTGAAATTTTATGATAGCAGTTATTAGTATACATGATAGGCTGAACAGGAAATGTTTGTAAAGGCTAAAATTCTGGCATTATGATAAACTATGTGTTGGGTCCATCTGTTGCATCATTTCCTGTTCCTGGAACAGAGATTGCCTGTGCCTGAGCTACCTTGGAACACAACTGTCTTGCTAAACAATACCCACTGTTTGGAACTCAGAGTTACAGTTTGATATGTGTGCAAGTATTTATTTCTTTAAAAAGAAAAGAAAAGAAAAATCCAGCTACTTGGAAATAATTCTTCCTCCTATATGACTCTCTTCCAAAGTGAATGTAGACAGAGGGACCACAGGAAATGATCAGAAATCAGAAATTAACACAAAAAATAGTTGAACATCTAAAATTTTTAGTCTCCAATGGATTAAAAAATTGAAATGTAGTGTTGAACAAATGGGTCTAAAGTTTAGAGTACTTATTGCTCTTGTAGAGAGGACCCAGGTACAATTCCCACATGGCAGCTCACAACCATCCATAGCCAACCATCCAGTTTTATGTGATCCAACACCCTTTCCTGTACTCCAGGCAGACATATGGTGCACATATATACATGCAGGCAAAATATTCATACATATAAAATAAATGACTCTAAACAATGGAACGTAACACATTTGAGTATATAGACTGTTAAATCAAACTTTAAGATGTTTTAAAAATAGAATTTGAATCAAGCCCCTGCTGGACCCTGCATATTGAAACCACTGCTTTAGTGCAGTTCAATCCCATTAGTTCAGATTCGGTGTTGATATGTGAAAGACTGAAACACATTGATTTGCTGATTTAACCATGTTTGCAACCCAGATAAAGCTGGAGTTGATGGCACTGTGAGAAGTAGAAATTACTGTAACCTCGAGATGACTTGTGCGGAAAGCTAACCAGAAGTACGTAATGCTGTGCCCTTGGCCATGGCTTCAGATTTTTAAAGGTGAATGCGATCCTAAGTTCAGTCTGAAAGAATCACCAGGGGTTCTAATTCAAGCTGTGCATGTAGCATACTTTGAAAAACACTGCTCTCAAGTTTCTGCACCTGAAAGAAAGGCAGTGACAGCCACTTCACTCTGAGAGCCTTGGCACTGTTTCATGTTGCTCTTCCCAGAGCCTTCTATTCACTTCAGTCTTTGCCGGGAAATAGGTAGTCTAAGTTACTGCTCCAGAGTTCTTTCATGTGTTCTGTCAAGATAGCTGGCAGTGGCCTTTAAATAAGCCAGGTATTGTAAAATCCAGGGAAACCTGGAAAAGTAAATTAACTTTTATCACTACATTTTTCCCCAGATGTCAATTAAAAGTTTCCACAAGAAAAATTTCTACTGACCTGGTAGTAACTCTGATTAGAAGAGTTAATCAGAATAATGAAAACATAAACTTAAAGCGCCACTCTTGTTGATTAAGCAAACTTCAGGAGCCACCCATGGTGTCATCAGAGGCTAATACAAACACAAGGTCCCCAGGGAGAAGTGCTATAGGAGCTTGCTGCTCACTCAGGTGCCAATTATTTCATGAATCTTCAACCATCCTTCACCAGCTAACTAAAGACCATCTAAGGGCGCAGCTGTCCAGATTTTCTTTCCACTCCACTCTGGACAGGCATTTTGAACATCTTGCTGTGTTCATTTGAGTTTCTGCAAGCATGAACCATAAAAAGTCTAATGAAAATTGTTTAGCTGGAAGATACAGGAAACAGAAGGAAGGCAGGGCCAAGGGACGGCACTAGGAAGAAAGTCATGAAGGGTCCAGGTTTATCAGAAAGTAAATCAGGACAGGGGAGTGGAGGCTCCATTATGGATGAGGATACTGGAAGTGGAAGGCTTGCAGTCGCTTTCCCAAGGAAGGATGGGCTCGGTTGTACTCATGCCATATGCAAGCTGAATCGCCTGTGTCTCCTAGAAATAGAGGCTTTTTGGAACAGTTTTAAGTTCCCTTCTATACCTATAGAGCAGGTTCATTGGTTTTAAAAAAAAAGCAGCATTAAAATCCTTAAGCAGAAAGGCCTTTGTGTTTTCAACAAGCACTCTTTGGAACTTGAGAGGTAAAACCTGGAAGACTGGGGGAGGACCTCAATTGAGATGAATGTCAGCTCTGCTTATTAACCACAGTGACTTTTAAATTCTTGAACACGATTGTTTCTGGAAACTTCCTTTCCTGCTAATTGGGCTTCTCCTGGTTGTGCGATCATGCCAGGGCATTGTATTTAAGAAATGTTCCTGTCTATTCCTTTATAAATAATAACCCTGCATCAGTTCAAGAATTAAATTTCTAGAGTAGGCAAAGCATGAACGAAAGATCAAAACCCAGATCAACATCTGTTAAATTGTTTTTGCTCTGCTGCTGATACGGATGTTTCCAACTTTAGTTGGACCCTCACTATTCCATGTGGCCCTTAGAGGTCACATCCTTTTCAATTTCCATTTTCTACAATGGTGATTCCAAAATGTATTCTTAACCTCTTCTTAGACCCCTTCCTCTGAGCTTCTAGTCATTATCATTGCTGTTTCTGGTCCATGTGTGGTTAGGCATTTTTTTCCCTTTCCAAATAAGGAGCTTTCTGTGGAGATAGACCCATTACAGAAGTATGAGCATAGGGGATAGCTTGATACCCTTCCCTCCAGTCTCAGAGGAAGGTACACATCCAAATCCTGAATCTGGCGTTCAGTTATTCCTACTCTCTTTTATACTTTATTTAAAAAAGTATTTATTTATTATGTGTATGGATATTTAACTTGCATGTATATCTGTGTACCACATACACATATGTGCTTAGGCCCTGCAGAGGCCAAAATAGGGAGTCAAATCCACTGTACTGGAGTTACAGATGGTTGTGAGCCACCATGTGGATGCTTGGAATAACCCAGGTCATCTGAAAGAGCAGACAGTGCTCTTAACTGCTGAACCATTTCTTGAGCCCCTTTTTGCATTTTAAATATTTCTGATATCCTTTTTCCAGCAGCATCAAAATATGTTTGTCTTTGTGCTAAATGTAATACATGCAGAATAATAGACAAGCACCTGTACATGTCCACTTGGGTGTCAATTATTTTATGAACCTTCAACCATTCTTCACCAGTAACTAAAGACAATCTGTGGGAGGCAGCTACCCAGATTTTCTTTCCACTTCACTGTGAACAAACATTTTGGATGTCTTGCTGTCTTTGAATTTCTGTAAGAATGAACCATAAAAACTCTAATGAAAATTGTTTAGCTGGAAGATACAGAAGATACTTTAAACCATTCTAAAATAAGTCTTTCCTTCCCCTGTCATAGTTAACACATTTGAAAATCTGTATCTTGTATAATTTATCTACTTACATATATATAATCACCCTAAAATTTAGTGTCTTATAGAAATGTACATGTATTTCTTTTCTGTAAGCTGGAAATATAGGTGTGACTCACCTGGGTCTACCTCAGAATTTGTGGTGGATTTTTTTCAGCCAGGGCTCCTGTCAACTAGTCCTTGATGAATGCCAAAAGATTCATTTCTGATATTCATAGTTACAGGACTTGGTAAAGACTTCTGTGTTTTGACCACTCTTCATAAGACCTCCCAGTTCTTCTTAGTGTGACCAGTTCACACACCCACCAAACGGTCCTCATGAAATGACAGCTTGGACATACAGAATGTAGAACCTAAGAAATTATGAAGAAAATAGTGGTATGTTCCATTTACTTTTTTGGTCACATTCTACTTGTTTTTATAGTGAGTTATAAGTTCAGTCCACACTTAAAAGGAAAAATTAAGCCCCAATTCATTGAAGAGAATGTATTAAATCATATTTCCCTTTGCTCAATCATTGCCTTGCCCATTCATTTTTCAGTACATTACTCTGTGCCCTCTTCTCCCACAATTCCATTGAAATGTCTTCTGCTACAGCCAACAGTTGCCTCATAATTTGTAAGCCAATGCATAGGAATTTCTATTATACAGCAACTATCAGTTTTGTTCTTTCTGCCTTTCTATTGGTCTTCTTTCTTTATTTCTTAGTGCTTGTGGGTAGTAAAATTTTAGGTAATTGGCATTTGTTTTTTATAATGCTTAAGATAAATGCACAGATGGAGCTAGCTACAGATAGACCTAGAGGCAAAATAATCCTCTACCCAAGGTTGGACATCCCAATGCCTGGAACCCATGAATAGGTACCTTTCATGGAAAAAAAAAGTCTTTGAAGACTTTACTGAGAACCTAATCACCTGATTGGGGTGATGTGGTCATGTGAACCCTTAGAAACAGTCTGAGGTCAAGGGGACAAGGGGATGTGATGCAAGAAGTTCAAAGAATAACAGATACTACCAATCATTGTTGGCTTTGAACACCAAGGAAAGAATGTGTAAGGAGCTTGAAGAAGATGAGAAATCCTCTCAATTGACAGTCAACAAGGAAAGGGTGTTATCAGCACCACAAATACAAGACACTGAATTCTATCAACAACCTCAATGAACAAAGAGATCTACAGAGCTGAAGTCATATATACTGAAGCCTACTAACTCCTTTCTTTTATTTAACGTATTTGTTTGTTTTGCTTATAAAGTGCAATGTGATTGCTTGTTGGAATTATTAAAGCAAGAAAATTAGCATAAACAATTCACATTTATGTGCTTTTTGTGATAAGAACATTTCAAATGTATTCTCTTAGAAAAATTTGAGCACATAGAACATTATTAACCCTAGTAACTATACCAGTTTCTTCTGAGATTTTTTTTTTTATGATCTGTAACATCTCCCAGTTATCAAGTCCTCTTCCATCCAGGAAAATTGGTAGTCATGATTTTACTCTCAATTTAGTCTGCATATAACTCTACGTTCCATCTTGTTCTTGGCTTATTTCACTTAGCATGGTGCCACCCAGATTAATCTATGTTGTTGCAAATGTCCCTCCTTTATAATTACTCATTTGGATTCCCCCTCTGTGTGTGTGTATGTGTGTGTGCATATACCCACATGTGCACAACATTTCCTGTAGCCATTCATTCTTTGTTGAACTCTTTCTTCAATCCATTATATTGACTATTGTAAAAAATGCAACAATTATTTCTTGACATGGTGACTCATGTCTCTTGAATATATGCACAGTTGTGAGATTCCTGTGTAATATGAAAATTATATTTTTAATTTTTAAAGGAACCTCTCTGCTGTTTTCCACAATGACTGTAGAAATTTACATTCCCACCAATAATATGCAAGAAGAGTTCTTCCCCCTGCCCCCCACCATCCTGGACAAATTTATTATTTTTTATATCCTAAAAGTCAACCTAACAAGTTTCTATAATTTTAACCTTCTTAGGTTAGTGTCATATTTCTGTGGAACTATAAGATGATTAACTGGTATTGTCGTAGCTTTGAAGTTATAGTAATTTGTTTTGACAGTAATAGAAAACTAGAGCCCAGTGTGGTATTATGCCTGAAATCCTAGGACTGGGGAGGTAGATGGGAGAGGATCTGGAGATCAAGGTCATCCTCAGCTACTATAGGGAATCTGAGGAAGCCCGTGCTACATTTTTGTGCATGTACTTTGCAAATATTTTCTTGGATTCTATTAATTGTCTTAAAATTATATATATATATATTGCAAAAGCATCTGACTGTGTAGCACAGACTGGCTTGTGATTTAAGGTCCTTCTTTCTGTCCCTTCAGTGTTGGGATTATAGGCATAGACCATCACACCCAGTGTGTCCCTGCACATTTAAAAGTCTTTTAATGCACAGAAATTCTGCTAATGTAGTATGAGTTTGGAGTCATCATTTTTTTCTTCTATGCTTATGTATAATCCTTTCCAATACACCAAAATCAAAGCAGCATTTTCTGCTCTCAGTACTTATTTAATTTTACTGAAGTATTCCATATGCCCTGTGGTAGAAATACAGTGTTTCCAATGATGACCATCTCCAGGTGCCTTTTACTAAATAGCATATTATGTCCTCTCTGACTTTCACTTTGGTCTTAACCTGCTTATTGTTCTGTTTCTGGCCTCTTTATTTCATTGTCTCATTTGTCTATTTGTAAATTGGCATTCTAGTCCTTTCATCAAAAACGTTTAAAATGCAATTGTCACTGTACAGGTGGAGACCCCCTACTCTGTGATCCAATTAGCATCACTGTGATCCCTCCTGTCTTTGCAAGTTTTAAAATTGATTTCTGAGTTCCTGTTGGTATTTTGATTGGGTTGCATTGAGTTTATAGATTAATCAAGAGAGAAATGACATTTTTGCCATATTGAAATTTCCCATCCATGAACTACATTTATCTCTAAGTTACTGATATCCTCCTTTTATGACTTTTGATACTAAATTATAATCTTATCTATCTGTGGAAGCTCTGTGACTTTTTTTACAAGGTATGTTTAAAAAATAGTTTATTTTCAGAGTGTGAGTTCCTGGTCCCTAAATGTTTTTCATAAAGATTTTATCCCCAGCTTTTTTCCTACTTCTTGCTCTTAATTCTAACAACTGCTTTGTGTATCTGATGTTGACAATTATAAAATTCATAGCAAGTATAATGAGTAAGTTGCTTACAATATTTATATCTAAAATTGTCCGTTTCTCATATTAAGAACTCCTTTTAGTATCTCTTTTGCAATATTAACATGAGCATGCATAGTGAATGTCTTAATTTTGTTGCAGATATCACATCAATGTTATAATCTATTATCTATTACCTTGAAGAATGTTATTTGTTCTGTCAGATTTTAACATGTTTCTTATTAGTTTGAAAATATTTATTTTTAATGAATAAGATTTGTATTAATATTTTTATTTTATAATCAACTTAATTTCACATATCAGCCATGGATTCCCCCATCCTCCCTCCTCCCACCCCCTAGACCTACCCCTCAATTCACCCCCATTCCCACCTCCTCCAAAGCAAGGTCTCCCCTGAGGAGTCAGCCCAGCCTGGTAGACTCAGCCAAGGCAGGTCCAGTCCACTCCTCCCTTCACCCAGGCTGAGCAGTGTCCCTGCATAGGCCCCCGGGCTCCAAAAAGCCAGCCCTTGCAGCAAGGACAGGTCCCGGCTCCACTGGCTGGGGGTCTCCCAAACAGTTCAAGCTAATCAACTGTCTCACTTATCCAGAGGGCCTGGTCCAGTTCCATGGGGGCTCCTCAGCTACTGGTTCACAGTTTATGTGTTTCCACTAGTTTGGCTATTTGTCCCTGTGCTTTTTCCAATTATGGTCTCAATATCTCTTGCTCATATAATCCCTCCTCTCTCTCTCACCGATTGGACTCCTGGAGCTCCACCTGGGGCTCCGCCGTTGAACATATGATTTTCGTCAAAGAAGCCAAAACTATATAATGGAAAAAAGGAAAGCATCTTCAACAAATAGTGCTGGCATAACTGGATGTCAACATGTAGAAGGCTGCAAATAGATCTGTATCTGTCACCGTGCACAAAACTTAAGTCCAAGTGGATCAAAGACCCCAACATAAATCTAGTTACTCTGAACCTGATAGAAGAGAAAGTAGCAAGTAGTGTTGAATGCATTGGCACTGGAGATCACCTCCTAAATATAACACCAGTAGCACAGACACTGAGAGAAACAATTAATAAATGGGACCTCTTGAAACTGAGAAGCTTTTGTAGGGCAAAGGACATGGTCAACAAGACAAAATGACAGCCTACAGAATGGGAAAAGATCTTCACCAACCCTACATCTGACAGAGGGCTGATATCCAGAACATATAAAGAACTCAAGAAATTAGACATCAAGATACCTAACAGTCCAATTAAAAAATGGGCTATAGAGCTAAGCAGAGAATTTTCAACAGAAGAATCTCAAATGGTTGAAAGACATTTAAGGAATTGCTCAACATCCTTAGTCATCAGGGAAATGCAAATCAAAAGATGTCTTATTAAATAATTGTCTACTTATATTGAAAATCATTATTCTTTTTAAGAATTATTAGAAAATTAACATGGACACATGTTAATGAGAACAAGTTTTGAGTTCTTTAAATAAACTCAAGTTATCATAATGACATTTTGATATATATGTATAAATATCTCTTCATGATTATTTGGATTTGTTTTACTGAAGACCGTAAGGTGTACTATTCAGAAGTTTTGTTTCCTTGTAGTATCATCATTAAATTTGTGTATCAAGTTCACATCTGCCAGCAAGAAAAGCTAAAATAAGAGAAATAAAAGAAAGGAAGGGAAATGGATGAAGGGAAGAAGGGAAAGAAAGGTGGGATAGAGGGATATGACATTTGATATTTTATGTTTAAATATTTGTTTCTAATTTGAGGGGCTATTTGCAGGTCTAAGGACTTTGACTTCCCATCTGCCACCTGCCCAGGAGTTTTTGTGGCCTTTAACACTGGACTATTGAGTTTTTTTTCACTGTGGTGGAGGCATCTGTTCTCCGCGCTTGCTTCATACATGTTTCGAACTGTTATGTCTTCATGGTGAGTTCGTGATTTTATTATTCCAAAAATACTCTATTTTCTCTCCTAGAATAGCTTTTAACTTCGAGTTAGTGTGTTGGTCACTATTTGAGTCAACTGCTCCACTGCTTTGTTTTCAGTCTTTGGCTATCTTTAGACCTAAAGTGAGTGTCCTTATGAACAGCATATAAGTGTTTTCTGGTTTTATTTTTAAATTCCCTTCAAAAATTCACCTTGCAAATATTTCTTTGTAAATATTGTATATGGGAAGTTTTCTTAATTTACTTTAAGAGAAACTACTGCATGACAAGGATTTATAACTGATATTATGTCAATTGTTTTCTGTATGCTCTATGTCTTTTGTTGTGGATTTTTTTGTCTTATTGGTTTCTTTCATATTTAATAACTGATTTTTCTGTAGATTACACATTTTATTCTTGTTCTCATTTTTCATGTATATTATATATAGAGAGTCTAAATTATTGCCATAAGAATCATATTTAGAAGGATAAAATATAAAGAACACATGAATCCTGAAAGAGGATAAAAAGCTGATTATTTTTCTAGTTATAATTCTGTCACTTACCTTTCACTGTGTCAGCAGTTAAAACAATCCATTTTTATCATTTCACAGTTTCTCCAAAATGTGGCATCAATGAATTCTCTGCTCAACACTTTAGATGGGGAAAGTGAAGTGTCCGTTGTGTGACATCCTCTCCTGGAAGTTCAGGTCCCAGCTTATTTAGGTTTTCAGCAGAATTAAATTAGTTGTGACTCAAAGACTGAGCATTAGTATCCCCTCTATTGCTGACAACTAAGAATTGCTTTCAGCTTTGGGAATCCACCCTTACATTCAAGTAGGGATGGCCATCTCACAGCATCACAGTTTATTACCTCAAAGTTAGTAGGAACATCTCTTTCCTTATAGATGGGGTTATGTTAAGAGATTACATGATTAAGTCAGGCATAGGCCCTGGATAATCCTTTTTATTAACTCAGGAGTCAACTTATTGAGACCCTAGTAATATTGCTAAAATCACTCCTAATTACTATGTAATATTATCTTATTACATGAGTGGCACCTCATATCCCCAAGTCCCAACCATGCACAAGAGTTAAAATCTATATAAAGGATTGTACATTGTGTTGCTTCTTAGGATTCTGTCAAATGTAGATTTCAAGTGTTTGTTATATGAAGATTATGGTAGTGTGGTATTGTGTTCCCCAAAATATTGTACATGCTAATAAACTTATCTGGGGTCAGAGACAGAATAGCCACAATATTAAACATTAGGATAGGCAGTGGTAGCACACGCCTTTAATCCTAGCATTCCAGAGGCAGAAATCCATGTGTTCAAGAATACAGTCAAGCATGATGTCTCCGCCTTTAATCCCAGAAAGCAAGCCTTTAATCCCAGGGAGTGATGGTAGAAAGGAAAGATATATAAGGCGTGAAGACCAGAAACAAGAAGCATTTGGCTGGTTAAGCTTTTAGCTGGTTAAACTCCAGGCTTTCAAGCAGCAGTTCAGTTGAGAGCCATTGGGATGAGGACACAGAAACTTCCAGTCTGAGGAAACAAGATCAGCTGAGAAGTTGGCTAGGTGAGGTTAGCTGTGGCTTGTTCTGGTTCTCTGATCTTCCAGCTTCACCCCAATACTTGGCTCCAGTTTTATTTTATTTATTAATAAGAACTTTTAAGATTCATGCTACATGGTAGTATAAATCAAATAGAAGGAAATGGCAAGGGGAATGCAAAAAACTACAGTGAAATGGAAAATGAGAGAAGGAAGCCACAGTTTAAAATAAAGGGCACATGTAGAATAAAACAATGTGACCTTTTGAACATGCTTAAAAACTGTGACTGAGCATTGCAGCCCATACACACATCTTTGTTTGATGGTTAGTTGGTACTTGTTGAGTCATGTCCTTATGCTTTCAGGGCAAATGTTCCACCACTGAGCTACATTAAAAGAAAAGTACCAACTTAGACTCCAGAAGGAATGTTTGGTTAATTTCTACTTTTAGTTCCATTTTAGTAGGAAGTGCACATTAAGCCAAAAAATGAACACCACCAAGAAACCTAGACCCTGACTCTTCCCTGAAGTTTCAGCTATTAATTAGAGATAACAGAATTCATAAATAGCTTTATTATTCATTCATTTTAAATGTTTTCCTTATCCTGAGAGTTAAATACTGTTAAAGCCAGTAGTGGAAAGTTTTACAATGCCAGAGAGTGATAAAAGTTTTGGTGAGGAGTCAGTTTCTAATATGAGTAGCTCAGCATGCCTCCATATTCTATAGGATAGTCTGTCTTTGATATAACCTAAGAAGTGTGATCATTGAGAAAGGGTGGGTCCAAAGACATCAAATTATAAGAACACACAAGTGCTCCTTACAGTTGCTCTTAAGCACATGAAAACCCAGAGTCTGTGCAAGGATTTCTACTCTTTTCTACACACATTACATTAAGCTGTCCTTCATAGCCACAGCAGGAACACCAGCTCTGTTGGAAGAATGTGGATGACAGAACCTCTCTGGCAGTACGCATCTCTCAAAAAGAAATCATCACATCACAATAGATGTTTCTTTTGATATGTTCACTATTTCTAGATCCATCTTACAATGACAAATTAAGACATTTGTTCAGTGAACTCTGACACTGGTGTGAATTCAAGCATTTCTGGCCTTATGTAGTTTTTCAATTATTTTTCTGGCCTGGATCTTGAATAATAATTTCAAAATGTCTCCAGAATCAACTTAGCAACAACAGTGGTAGAGAATAAACCTCTACACTACCTAGGTAATTCAATGTGCTTTCCTATGGAGAGGTCCTTAGTCACGAAGCTATATTCCAAAAAGAGCAGGTATAGGGAATTGAAACCTTTAATGACTATTTTGAAACTTCTTTATTGTAAATGAACCTTGAAACAGATAGAATTCGAGATAATCCACAGCTTGACAGTGAACAATCAGCTACCATTTTTTTCTTCTATGACCACAAGTGTGTTTTGCCTGGCTAATTATTCTGTATTTGGAAGCCCACTGTGAATCTTTTCAAAAGCTACAAAGAAAATAATGTTCAAGTGAGATGTATCTTAAGCTGTTTTCTTCAAATGCAATTTATAATTTTGTATGGATTACAAAAACATGCCTCCTAGTATCCTGCTATTTTGTGTATTTAAAGCAAATTGACTCCTATGTCCAATGTAACACAATGCATAGAAATTTGTTTCTTTGATTCTTGAAATCTTTGCTGTGGATTTTGATCTTAAAAAGTATGTTTATTTCATTCATCAAAGATGTTTCTAGTCCTATTTTATTCCTAGAATTTTGTTTGGCTTGGCAACATATAATTGAACAGTACAAATAAAATCTGTGCCTTCAAGAAAATTTAGCATTTCTTCTGAAATATTCAGCAATCACCACATATCTTTCAATTGTCATCATGGTATTCTATCAGCATTTGGTGAACAAACCATTAGTTGATTCTACTCATCAGGCAAATACCAGCCTCAAATACATGCCAGAATCCATGTTGTAATTATACAAATATATGAAGAAGAAAAAGTTGCTGGCCATTCTGGAGGCTGATACAGTAGAATTGTGAGTTCAAAGACAGCCTGAGCTATGTGAGACTCTGAACCAAACTTTAAGGATGTAGGAGGGAGCTGTTTGCTTCACATGACCCAAATTTAACAGCTTTAAGACCACTGAAATAGAGTAATAGAGCAACAGTTCTTAAACTTCCCATTCATGACCCTTTCACCAAAAACACTTGGTGTACATATATACATATACACCCTAGATATGTAAGCATATAATCTATGTATGCAATTAAACTTACTGATAATAAATGATAACAAATACATATTCAACCAATTCTCTATCAGACTCAAAATTTTAGTATTTATTGCAGGTGAAAACAAGTCTACATACTATAGAGCTCAAAGTGCTTACTTGTTTTACATAAAGAATTAAATTCTGGCTGAATATTTGATATTCTAGGGTTCAGAGAATCTTCAATGTTTTGTAAAAATTGATCATTACTTTGATTTTTATAATAATAAATTCTGGCCGGGCGGTGGTGGCGCACGCCTTTAATCCCAGCACTCGGGAGGCAGAGCCAGGAGGATCTCTGTGAGTTCGAGGCCAGCCTGGTCTACCAAGTGAGTTCCAGGAAAGGCGCAAAGCTACACAGAGAAACCCTGTCTCGAAAAAACCAATAAAAAAAAAAAAAAATAAATTCTGAGAACACGTTTTTGTGCAACACTATACTAAAGAAGTTATGTTTAGAATTATTTTAAAAGTTGTTGGAATTTTGGCCTAATCCCAAGATACAATTCCTTTTTACGATATTTTTAAAAATGAAACTCAAGTCAGCAACTCAGATATATTTTTGGAAATCAAATATTCTAACAATGCAATTCTAAGTAGGAACTGGTATGTACAGTTAAAATGTTGCAATTCATATCATACAATAGACTTGATTCTGAGGTCACAGGTTCTGGACAGTGCTCATTGGCATTGTCTGCCTTGGTGACATGCGCAGTACAAAGTGTACGTGTTGTCTATCGAGAACGAAAGCTGCAATGAAATTTTGCAATTGAACATGGATGAATACTGTCAGACACACAGTAGATTCATTATATATTTGATTTTCAATCAGTTTTGGATCACTACATACTCAAACCTTTTACTGTTGCCATATTTTTATAGTCTTCACATTCAGTTTTGTGATCCCATAGAGGGTCATGACCCACATTTCAAGAAACTACAGAATTGATTGAGGAAAACATTAAAATTCAGTAACTACTTATGACAAAAATTAACCAAAAACACTTAACAAGATAAGTAGACATAATAACTTCTTTTGATAAAGAATTTCAATTTTAAAATGAACTATTTTTAATGATCATATCCAAAGCACAGAACCAACAGTATGTATGTACACAAATGCAAATGCAAACACACACACACACACACACACACACACACACACACACACACAAACACCTTCAAAACATTACAAATTAGCACAGAAGAAAACCCCTGAATGTAATTATAAATCATGTGATAAATTCAGAAACTTCAATATGTAAAATGGAGAGCTATTAACAAATAAAGACCATATGTGTCTTCACCTAGTTTTGTCTACCATTCAATCTATTTATTAATCAATCATCTATCTCTTGGTCACCTATACTCTTTCTATAACTTTTAACTATGGAGAATGCCAACAAGATTGCACAGAGAGACCTTCTCAGATGCTTTTGGGAAGACCTAAACTACCAGTCACAATGTGGGCCTGTGTGGAGCACCCAGTGAGTTGGAACCTCCCAGTCACCTTTTGCATCGATTAGTGACTGAACCAAATTCACCATTTACAACTAATACCAGCTTGTCAGTTATGAGGTTTAAAATCCTGTAAGAGCATATATAGGAATAGTAACACCTCAAGAGTAATCATTCTCGCTGGGTGATGCTGGCGCACGCCTTTAATCCCAACACTCGGGAGGCAGAGGCAGGAGGATCTTTGTGAGTTCGAGGCCAGCCTGGGCTACAGAGCAAGATCCAGGAAAGGTGCAAAGCTACACAGAGGAACCCTGTCTTGAAAAACCAAAAAAAAAAAAAAAAGAGTAATCATTCTCAATCTCCAGTTTTCCTAGTTACCAGGACTTCTAAGTTACAGC